TTTTTTTTTTTTTTTTTTTTTTTTTTTTTTTTTTTTATAACAGAAATATATTCAGGATATGCCAGTTATAGACTTGTAGTTTTATATTTCATATATACTTGCAGTAAGCAGTCTCTAATTTGATACTTGTCAACATTGAGTACTCGTTGTCCTTCAATCATTTTTCATGTGATTGCTTTGGCATTCCAGTTAGATCTTTGAGTGATGCTTGTTCTCAATTATATGTTAACATATGCCTTAGGATATCCTAGCAATGACTACCTTCTTCCCCCGAATACAACGTACAGTCATTATAGCTGTATTTGTGGCATCTTTCAGTCTAGAGACAGCTATAATGACCGTACGTTGAATTCGGGGGAAGAAGGTAGCACATTCGTGTATCGATCAATTCATGTGCACTAGTGATCCCTGGTTACAGCGGACCGGCAATGAGCAGAGTATCTCTGTATTCTGACGACTTTCTTGCATCTTTGTGTATCTTAATCATTCCCACAATACTTTCACTGCATAGCAATCCCACCAGAAGAGAAACTGATGTGTTTTTGTATCTCCACGGTGACCTCTCATTCGTATGTTTTGCACATTGTTATTTCGACTTCCATTGTTTTTTTCCCGGGCCCTTGAACCATCTACCTTCTTCCCCCGAATACAACGTACGGTCAATCTAGCTGTATCTAGACTGAAAGATGCGTCAAATACAGCTATAATGACAGTACGTTGTATTCGGGGAAAGAAGGTAAGGATGCTGAGGTCGAGGATCGTCTGAACCATCTAAGGATGCTGAGATGCAGGGCCTCTTCTGAAACAACCGTCATCCTTATATTTAAGCAGACTGACACTTCTGAATGTTTTTTTAACTTTTTTTTATGTTTTCTGCCCTCAAACAAGGACTTAGAAGCAGTGCCCCGAGAGTGCAGCTGTGTATTTCTCTCACTTCCTTTTCACTTCCTTCGCTGTGAGATTTTGTTTTAGAAGAGGGCATTGCATTGCGTCTACGAATGAATCATTCGTAGTTATTTAGGCCTCTTCATCTGCATTCTCATGTTGTTAATTTCTTCCCATCGTCATTTTCTGGAATCAAATTTGCGGTCTCTTTGCTGCTTTTTTCCCTGTGCATAGGGTTTGGAGACCAAATGCCCCCCTCTTGGTCTCCGAGAACGACCACATTCTTTGTATCTTCTTCTACTACAATCAACTTTTATCCGTGCTAAAAAAAAAAAAAAAAAAAAATCCGTACTCTCTGACACTCCTTTCCCAGATTTTTATGACATTATTATACTCCTGTTCATAAGATTATTTGTAATTTTCATAATTCTGTGTGCAGCTACGTGGCTACGTTTTATCTTCAAGTTGGTCAATCACAAAACTGTGCAGCCACATGGCTTCTTTTTATTTGTCCGCAGCATGGCATTCCTATGAAATCACATACGTCAATTCCATTCTAAAGCTGTTTTTTTTTTAAACCTTACCATATTTTTTGTTGCTTCCCCCTCAAATTTTCTGCTACGTGCGCTCATATCTCATGGAAAGTCCACTCTGCTCATTCATTTCGTCATCCAAGAGCCTAGCTCAGTGGGTACACCTATGCACTGTTGAAATACAGACCTGTGTTCGAATCCCGATGATGGAACGTGACGAGTAGAACCGACTACTAATGAATTGCTTGGGTTCGGTCAACTCAATGATAATATCATTTCGTCATCCAACTCCGCTCTGCTCATTCATTTCGTCATTCAACTCCTGCCCAAGTTCTCTTCCTATATAAGTTCTTTTCCTATCTAATTTCCCTTACCTACAATATAGAGGTTATTAAACCACCAGTACTTGGCCCAGCTGTAAAGTCCGAGCCTCCAGCGACGGGTATGTCGAGCCTGCCAAGCCTGGGAGTACCAGTAGCTGGTACCTGCCAAGCCTGCGAGTACCAGTAGCTGGTACCTGCCAAGCCTGGGAGTACTAGTAGCTGGACGGGCCGAGGCTAGGGGGACCAGTTGGAAAAAAAAAAAAAAAAAAAAAAATGCTGGGGACGGGAATGCAGTTGGATGCATTCTTCCGAGTGCTACCTTCTTCACCCGAATGGAACGCCCGCTCGTTATAGCTGTATTTGGCACATCTTTAGGTCCAGATGCAGCGATAATTACTGGGCGTTCTATTCGGGTGAAGATGGTAGTGTGAGCAGGTTGCAGTTTGGGTGTATCAGCCCCGTAGCGTTTTTGCCAGAATCCAGAAGTCAAAAAAAGGAAAAAACAAACAAACAGAAGTC